AGTTTATTACTTCTAACGTTTTCGGTCTTGTTAAAAGACCTTTCTCAAGAAAAATAAAGCAAATAAAATAACAAAATGTAAATCGTTGCAATTTATGACGTCATTGTGAACTTAGCAACGGAAGTATAAAAATCCTAAAGATTACATAAATATCTAAATACAAATAGTTACCATCTCCGAACATCACTCGTAAATACCTAGCTTAAGATACATAGTAACTACTTCTTTCAATTATTAAGGTTTATATTAAGGATTTAATACGAAAATAAATTTAAAAACTTTTTTAGTACACGTAGCACGAACCCATAATTTATGCTCCTTTTTGCTGTAATAATAATTCTTGTACTGTTTTGCAATCCGTAATTAATTTAAACAGATAATACAAAAAGATTATACTTAAAAATTTAATAAATACCTAGAGCCAGTGGTGATATTCAGCGGGTTCGCACAGGTTCGGCCGAACCCGTTGTTAACATTTTCAAAGTTTTCAGAACCTTGTTAAACACATGTAACATTTCTCAATGGTTTGATTCTTTTAAAAATATTAAAATATACGTATTATACTCTGTAACACTACTAAACTAGAGGCTTCCGATGCACCATTTGAGCGAAAAAAAAAATTGTTAAGGAAAAATTTTCTGTTAGCGAACCCTTTGTTAAATATTTCGAATGTCATCACTGCCTAGGGCCTACGAAAAGCTTAATGAGGCTCTGCCCTTGGTCTTTCCTCTGGGTGCTCCACTAAGAAAGGACGTATTTTCAACTGTAATTTTAGCTTAAGTAATTATAATTTAGATATGTATTGTAGTGTTTCTGACGGCAAATTGATGTTTCCTTGAGCACGTTTAATTTAGGGGTCAAATAAAAAAAACAGCATTGCGTGCACCTAACAGAAAATAGACGCAAAAAAGAAACAGAGCACAAGAACAAAGCAGTTGGGACCAATTCCTTTTTGTTTTGGTTTTATTCGTATACGGCAATACGACACGTGGGCAATCTGCCAAAGGGGAATACCTCTCGGGAGGTCTTTTATAGGAAACTGGCACCCTATTTAGATGTTACTAACGCGAATAAAACCTGGAAAACTCCACAACGAAGTTACAACGTTCAGTGGTTTTATCCACATCGCCACTGGTGGATATTGCCACCGATTGCTTTGTTCTTGGATTGTGTCGGTAAGAGTAAGGATCATCTCTGTGTGCTGACAGTACAAGAATCGCCTCACCCATGACCGGCAAGGTACGAGGATCGCCTCTCCCTTGGCCGGCGAGAGCGCTTTGTCTGTCTTTTTGTATTGATGCAATACTGTATAATCTAACTGTGAAAAATCCTCCGAAAATTAAATAACTAAATAAAAATGTATTAATGTATTGATTTATCTTCAAGCTTTGCCCCTCCTGGAAACTTTTTCGGACGAACATGGATCCCATCTTTCCTGTATGAGACTAACAATGGATGTGATTTCATAAATGAAGTATTCTACGTGGGCTTTAGTTCACTCTCAATAGGCAAAAAAATGGATTCCAATAACCCATAATGTTGACGAGTCAAACAATAACACGTTTTACATAATCAAAAAAGAAGTTCTCATTAAGTTATTAGAGAGGTTGCGGCCGACGTTTTCATCGCTATATTTCAAATATATTGTAAACATACAATATAGGTTCCATGCAAAATTCTTAATAATTTCGTATCAATTCCACTTAAAAGTTTGTGTCGATCAAATCTAATACATTTTTTTTTTTTTTTTATTACATTTAAACAAATTCATCAATATTTCATCTGCCATTTTGTTTGGATATTTTAAATTTGAGAAATCCTAGTTATTACAATTTCTTATATTTGAATTATAATTTATATATCTTAAGAAATGATATCAAATAATATCCAATTAATAACTTTATTTACAATATTCCATAAATAAATAAATAAATTATTTATTTTAACTCCATTGTTACATCCGGGATGTCGTCATTATCGTCTGCTTTCTGAATTGAGGACGCCATATTAAATATCTGTAAAACAAAAAAGAATTTGCGTTTACTTTAAAAAAATTTTTGCATCTCACGAAGGTAAATAAAATAATTTTATAAAATACCATTAAATTATGATATTTTATGAATCCGAATAATTTTTTCGGTTAAAGTGTAGGTTAATCTTTACCTATGTGCACCGTCATGGCGGCGGTCCCGACTGTTCGTGCTCCCGACAGACTCCTCCCGGAAAGGATCCGCCGGCAGGCCGCCGATTATTTAACGTCACTAGTTATTGATTCACGGTAATTCTTGAACACACGTATCAATTCAAGTCCGTCGGGAGCACGAACAGTCGCGACCGCCGCCATGATGGTGCACATAGGTAAATATTGACCAAAGTGTATACCTAGGTAACCCCAATGGAGGATCTTCGGTTAGGTTAAGTTACATTAACTATACAGTATTTTTAGTAGAATTTTTTTTTTATTTTGTTCAAGAATGATGTATTTAGAATAATAATATAAGTACAGTAAATCGATAGATGGAATAACAAACTAAGAACACCGACATATTCATTCAAAATACGATAGACCGTAGTAACGTTGAAAGGTACTGTACTGTACAGTACGTACTGTACAGTACATATTGATATTATTTGCATTAAGTTCGTCTTATATAAAAATTCCTGTTAAATGTCAGATTAATAAACGTCTGCTTTTTTTGCAATCCAGCAACAAGTTGCCTAACTTTACCGGCAAAAAAACATTTAAAATTTTATGTGGCGCCATCTATTGTGAGATTTTATAATGAAATGGCATAAAAGTTAATTTTGATGGTAGAGATGAGTTTCATAAAAAAAATTATAAATGCTAATAAAGAGTAAAATCGCCATCAAGTCCGACTTCACTCTTAATAATACACACGACCTCCTTTATCTCCCCATTCCTTGACCTTTAACCATAACATCTATGCCCCTAATACACAAACATTCCCCCAAAATTTCAAAAATTTTCGACAAAAGACACAGGGGTTATTAATTAAGCTTTAAACTGGGTAAACACATATAAGTTATATATATATATATATACATACACATACAGAAAAATCCCGCAAAATGTTGCATTTCTAGACATTTAAGGGTTCCTCGATTCCAAAAATGTAAACATCTCGGGCTTCATTTCTTTCGATCGATCGCCATACTTTACAGATGATCAACAAAAATATGGAATTTCATAAATTATAATTAGAACAAATATGCCGGTCTTAAAGCCAGAACGTACAGTACAATTTATAAATTATTTTAATAAAAAAAATGAATGGAAACAGTCCTTTTTTTTAAACAAATTACAGTAATATTAGTCCAACTATTTTATAAAATTAAAAAAAAAAAAAAATAGATATTTTCGGCTTCACTTTAAATATGTATCATTCTACACCTTCAAATTCCTTTATAGTGAAAATAAACATTGCCAGTAATTTGATATTTGTATAATTCATATAGTTTTTATGCCGCATAAATAATTCTTATGCGATTTTCAAGGACATTTTCATCATTTTCTTAAAGTTCTGTCTAAAAGCTTTTACTTCACTTTACTTTACGACATAAAAGGAAATACACGTCGTAAATCGAACTCTCATTTTCTATGTCATATAGTTAACTCTTATTAAAATATATTAGAATAAAAAATTTATCTTAAAATAATGCGGAAATAATTAAATATTATGTAATAGTTTATAATTCATTTGCATATATATGAGATTGTTAAAAGTTTCTGTTTTGCCTCCAACTGTGAAGAAAGTATACGTAAATCATTTTGTATTTATATATAAGGAATAACCTGGTTTATTTACATTACATCTCGTATAATGAATTAAACATTAATTGTAAAAATAACTACTTAATAAGAATGATTTATTTGATAAATATCTCTGCAACAACCTACAATCTTATTGGTTTGCCCATTGAATAACGTGCCATTGAAAAAGAAAGATGAACGTTTAAATAAAAGAAGACGACACCCCCACATTTAGAACCATCTCTCCCTTATTTAATAAATGACTACGATTTATATTATAGTGTTTATATATAAATACGTCCGAATAATTGTAGAATAACACATCTTTAACGGATTACGTTTAAGTGTTTGGATACGGTATCAAGATAATTACACTAAACTGGCAGTTTGGCGAAGTTATAATTTAATAAATTCGACAGGATAATGTATCTATAACCGAATGGAGTAATGTATCTGTAATAATTGAGAGTGAAATTCCTTATTGTGTCGAAATTACCAGTCTTAATCTACAATGTATTACAATGGGAATAATAGAAGAGTTTTATCTCCTTATTAAATACAATTGTATTATACAATCAGTTGAACAAAAACATTTTAACGAAAATTATATATATATATTTTTTTTTTCTGGATTTTTTCCTGCCGTTTATTTAAATAGTTTGCTCTAATTCTGTAGTTCTAATTCAAGTTGCAAGGTTCAAGCGTATATAGAAAATGTATCATAATCATTACGTTGATATTTAAACTTAGAATAGTTTAATTTAAGTACACTAAAGTAAATAAGTAGTTTGTGATTATGTTCTTTAATATGACTCGTATTATAAATCAAATTTTCGTCTACATTTTCACACCTTTTAGTGCCGCAAGTTTAAAGTTTAATATATAAACAACTAAAAAAAATCACAAGTTTCAGGCCAGTTTTAACCATTAAGGCATACCGTACAGTACGTGCCTAGGGACTGGAAAATAAAGGCACGCTGCCCTGGAAAAAGAAAAAAAACTATTATTATTTTACAAAAAAACAAGTCTATGTATTGATGTCTATATCTCGTACCAGGGTCAGGCTGTTAGCTGTAACGGGATGAAAGGTTGAAGTGCCAGAGGGGGCCCAAAAAAAAAACTCTGGAACCTGGACACGGGTAATACGGCCTTGACAATTTTAATACGTATGACATTAGACGGGGCTCGAACCCACTCCTGAATGTAATTATCTAATTCATGTTATAATGTTAGAATCCATCTCGATGCCGTTTAATAACACTAGTATTTGCATATTTGAATTTGGTATTGCAATTCTGCATCCTGGAAACTGCAAAGCGTTGCAGATTTGTTGCAAACCTTGCAAAACAGCTTTGGTTTATATATTTTGTTTTTTTTTTTTTAACTTTCCCTTAACGTAGCACAGTAAACAATATAATGTTACGTTTGTAACGTTATATTGTTTACTGCTGCTCTGTTTACTAACGTAACATTATATTATGTAACTCTACACAAATATACAAAGTTGTTACCGTAAAAAAATTATTTACAAACCTTTTATTTGACGATTTATTATTGTAAAATTTTCCTTAACGTTAGAAACAAACACGTTTGTTTTGTTAGTTTAAATGTTTGCAGAGTGTCAGGTAGGCTATTTCTAGCCTCAAATCCTTTGATAACAGTTTACAGTTCAAAGTTCCAAACAATATACAATTTTTTAAAAATATATATGCCTAGTTTATTTAAAAAAAAAAAAAAAAACATAGATTAGTTCTAAGTTTAGAATCTTATCTAATTTACTAATCTACTCGAATCACTTAAAATAAGTGTTTAGTTTCATTAAGAGCCTAGCTTATTCGTCAATTATTTAATATAATTTAACAATTTTTCAGAATATTCAATGTCTGTAAAATTATTTTAACACTGTTTTCTGCTGGTGTTCGTAAAGTATTAACATCTACAATGAGTTGTTGATGTTAAAGAGTGTGTTGAATTGTATCTTATCTGCAAGATTAGATAAAATGTTAGTAATGTGCGAGAGTAGGAAATTGTAAATTAAAAAAATGTATCCAAAAAATAACAAATTAAGATAATTGTTATTAGGTACTAACTAATTTCCTCAATAAAACTACTGTTAAAGTTAACAGGAAGGTGAAGGTCAATAATGCCAAAATCGAGTATAAGTGGCGATCTCTTTTATCACTCTTCTTGACCCTTTCTGGAGTTAATATATATTTATATATAGGACCTCTTCTCTATCCTCTTGAGTATATCTATAGCTTTAGGATCCTTTCTTGAATGTATCCATCTTTAGTTCCTAGAAAATCATTGGTATTCGTACACCTACGTATTTGTAGGTGTACGATTCGGAAAGATTCGATTAATTTAACCTCAGTTATCAGATAATGCCATCAATTTTTCACTTTTGTATGCTAATTTCGATTACTTTCTTCAATTACAATTGTTAAACACGGGTTAAATTCTGCGGAATATACGCCCGTGTACAATTGTAAAGGGAATGAATATACAGGAATACGCGTAAAGAAATAATACACATATGAATATAATCCCGTGTTGGAAAGAATATCAACAGATTTGCCATCCAAATTCTTGTAAAATGAGGAAAATCCTCATTTCAGCTTCATCTGCATAATATTTTGTTTCGAAATCGCATCGAATGTTAAAATTTTAACAGCACAATAACATTTTTATTGAACTTTATTTTATTGTTTACTTATCAGCGTAACATCTCCGATAACAGAGGATTAAATGTCGTTTCTGCGAACAATTTCGTAACCATTTATTCACTCAACAATTTAAATACAACATCAAATAAATGAATAAATTAATTTTTTTTTCTTTGCTTCAGGTGAATGCGTGACGCAACGAACACGTAAGAATGCGTAACGATAAATTATAATTGCATGCGACCGGTTGATATCGACGCACGTTTTCTTTTCTCAATTCGAGAGGAATAATCTTAGTTACGATCGTAATTTACAGTCCAACCTGGCGTTACGCGCGTGAAGAAATCCCCGAAATCCAATTGTTTTTTTTTTTTTCGTCTCCGATTTTTCTAACGGACGACTTCTGTAGGCAGGAAACGTATTTATAAGCCATTCCGTAACGTTTTATTACTATCGTAACCGAGTAAAAGAGTATTTATAGGAGTTGTTACTTCCTCCTTCCCGTACGAGACCGAAACTAGAAGGTCGAGTAAACTTAGAGCTACGCAAGGTCGACTAATGTTAGAATCGACTCTTTCCTAATTATGTGGTGAGGATGGCGGGGCGGAAGCCGGGGATAAACGATAGCGCGCGCTCCGGACGTCTCTTCCGGTCACGTGACGGCCGAGGAGGAGGAAGCGCCGGCGTCGAACTTAGAGACAAGGCGCGACGTTCGCGAAGACGGAAAGAGTGAGGAGTCATGAATACACAACACGGGAATGTCACGCGATCTCTCCCGAAAGGTCAGTAAGGTAGTTTTTTTCTTCCAAATTTCCTCCAGTTCCTACGCCCTTCCGCCTTTTCTATTATTCCGAAAGTCACTTCTGTTCGGTACTTTAAGTGGCCTAAGTGGTCCAGAAGGACGCGAGCCGCGTTAACGTGTAAATAAAGTAATCTTCTCCGGACGTGACATAGTTCGTGACGGGCTCTTAATAAGTAACGTGCAAGAATGCAAACTCGTGACGAAACGCCTGCAAAACACTTGCCCCGCACGTGCAAAAATTCGCTCCGAATACCCCCCTAAAAGAAACTCGCACTAAATAATTGTCGTATTCGCGTTTGGAGAGGCAAAAAAGTGGTTCCTCACCACCTCAACCGTGCAGTTTAAGTGACTTAAACTGCACGGATGAGGAGTTGAGGTGGTGAGGAACCACTCCCGCATCCACAATACTCAACGGCGAATTTTCGTTAATATAATTTACATATCGCCCCCTTCTGCCCGGAAATGATTCCTAGACGTTATTTCTGTTACCGGAAGTGGTAAGCCGACTTTCAAATTGTCGTTGATAAAGGTTTAACAACCGATAAGTTATCGCTTCGTCGAGATAAATCCTGTGAATTACGAACGGGCGAATGACATTTCGTAACCCCTGCAAAAGCGAGAACAGGTTGCAAATTTATACGAAACGAACAAATCACAAATTAGTAACCGAATATTAAGGATAAAAATAGGACCGTTGAAGCGTAGACGATTGTCGGAACGAACCGCATCTTTACCTATTTAAGTGATCCTGACTCAAGATTTACTGACTCATTCCACTTCTAAGGATAGTAAAGGTGCATCCTTGCATAAATTACACGTATTACATTCCCAGCTTATATAATTTAGTAGAGTGCATTTATTATATTATACAGTATACAATTTTTACTGTTATTAAAAATAGAAATCTGGATGCCATGCCCCAATTTTGCACGTTATATTCGTCGATCGTTATAAAAAAAAAAAAAAAAAAAAATGCTAATTACGAAGGTGGTGAGATGTTGCTCCTTCCTCTCATTCATTAACTAAATTAGTTTTACTCCAAAAAACGTATCGTTTTCAATAATAATTTGTATAATAATCCAGAGATCGCCGCCATATTTAATCGCGTTGAATTTTTTTAGCGAGATTTCCTCCAATTTTAGAGGAAAAACCTCTACTTTTTCTCGATCGCCATCGTCTAAATCGCGTGTTAAAGTGCAGACAGTTGTAAGGAGGGTGCTTCTTTTTTAAAATAAGCGTGACTAATATCGAATTTTGTACACGGTAGTTGCGTGTAATTAGATAAATTCGAACAAATTCGATATAATTAGTGTCTGGATTATTCAAATTTATTTAATTAGGCGGCATCTGCCTTCTGTAAATAACCTTTAGAACGTTAAGTTATCCTTAATCATTGTTTTAAGGAGCCTTCTCCTTAAGAATCCTTTATCTAAGGATAAACTATCTTTGAGCTGGAGTTACGCCGATTCTTTTCTGTTAAGTCGTAGGCGACGAAGTAATTTTTCTGTTTTAAATTCCGTTAAGAGCCGCTGTTGTAATTATCCGTAATTATCTTTGTCCTTTGTTCGTTATCTCGACGCTCGAAGCGAGCAAAAATTGCAGGAAGAAGGTCGAAAAATAAATATTTTTTAAGCAATTAAAACTATGAAAACACTGAAAAAAAAAAGAAAAAAGAATTCTTCTCGTACTCCGAGAAAAATTGCGACTTTTTAGGCAATTTTTTTTTTCCTTTAAATTTCGGGGATCGTCCAATTCGGCACGCCGATTTATCTGTTGATCGCGGCGACAAAATCGCAAACTCGGAACGACGCGCGTCTCGCCGCCATCCGTAACCAACGCACTAATTTATTTATTTCATAATCGGTTAATGCACGGTGGCACGAAATTAATTATTCGCGGTATTCGGTAAGCGCGACCTCGGCTCTCCTCCTTCCATTCCGTTAATTGATTAACGACAATTTGGGCTGTTGACCTTCCGGCTTTCTAAACGTTGTCGCGTCGCGAAGCGGAGCCGCCGCGATTAGACAATTCGCATTATGTTCCGCCAACGCTCGCGCGAAAGCGATGCGTAACTAATTATAAACCAAAATGGCGTCGTTCGCCGGTTTACGTATGCCGATAAAACGTAATTTTATCCCAATAAAAATCAATTTCTCTACATCCACTCGTGCGTCGGTCCGAAGCTACGCGCAGTGGCGTAGCTCACGCGTCTTGAATCATTTCGTCACAGTTACGCGCGTGCTAATTTAAGAGTAACGTAGCATCATTGTAAATCTTGTTACATTTAGCGTAACGCTACACGTGTTGTCAAATCGCACGCGCGTTGTATGTATGTATGCGTTTGTGTGAGGGTGAGTGACGTGTATCGATGGCGAGGGATGCTCGAACGTCACTCAATAGGAAACCCTTCTCAACCCCTACAAGTTGGCTTCTCCGCGTGCATTTTAAGTTATGCGTGTTGCCTACCACTCACCTGTTGAGAGTCAAAAGCGAAACACGAAGAACAGTTCGACACGTGCCCTGTAAACACCCTCTTAAACATAACATACACAGAGTAATTTTAAATTAAGGAGCATAAATTGTTATAAATAACTAATTTTGGTATTTTTACGCGTCATTTTAAGGTGGTCGGGGATGGCTACCGTTGCTGCTACTGATCCTGCACCCGGTCATCTTAACAAAAGGCGAGTTAGAAGACACCTGCGACGTTTTCTCCCCTTCTATCTACTGTAACTGCGAATTTCGTCGTTCCGACGAAGGAAGGAGCCTCAACTGCTACGTCGGAGGACCTCTGACACCTCGAGATGGCATCTGGGAGGAGATAGGCTTTCGTAATGCCACTTACCTCGGTTTGGTATGCAAGTTGGGGTCCGAACTTGATTTCGTGCCCGTCGCGGCTCTCGGGGCCCTTCCCGATTTGCGCGCTCTCAGATTTCGACAAGCCCGTTTGGGATCCCTATCTTCGGGTTCATTTTCCAACAATCGACTGGTCGACATCGATCTGAGTAGCAACGAAATCGAAAGATTGGAGCCTGCAGCTTTCGTGAGCATGGAAAATCTCGAGAGGTTATCTCTGACGGATAACTTAATAACGAAGATCGAAAAGGGTTCCTTCGTCCGATTACCCAAATTAAGGGACCTCTTCCTCGACGGAAACCAGATCGTGACCATCCAAAGCGGATCATTCGAAGGATTATCCGGTCTAGTGGATATGATTCTGTCCAGTAACAATCTGACCCGATTGGAGGAGGGTACCTTTAAGGGCCTAACTCGTCTGGACTTTTTGGACCTATTCCGTAATCAAATTACAGAACTTCCAGAGAACGCCTTCCTTCCTCTGAGTAACTTGAGCCGATTGGATCTGTCGAGAAACAGGATTTCCTCCATCCATCCTTCATCTTTTCGGGGTCTGAACCATCTCACGGTTCTGCTGCTCAACTATAACAAATTACAGACGTTGCCGAATCGATTGTTTATGCCCGTCCCCCAATTAAGACAGATAGGTCTTGATTTCAACTTACTTCACGGGTTATCTCCTTACCTTCTTTCTTACTTGGATCGACGACTAGAAAGAGACTTCATCTTCCGTTTCAAAGGTAAGAAAGGTTCCTAGTATTCGTGTTATAATTACGCGACACTAGCGTGTGACATTCTATCTGTTACTAACCCGTAGACAGATTTACAAACACTTAACACGGATTTAAGGTTATATACATTTTCAAATGATAGGGGGATAAATTACATACACTCGTTGTTACTTTCGTGGACCTTAATAGAAGAATAAATCGAGATTTATTTGTATGGGAGGAGCGTGAAGAACAGGACACGACCCACAACAGAAAGTAGCCAATAGGAGTCCTTCAAAACCTATCGATAGACAATTTAGTTGTTCCCCTCTGAAGATTTTCCACCCACAAAACAGAGTGAACATTTCTTAAGGGAATTTTCTTCTTTAATGTATAAAAATGCAATCCGTTACATTATACATTCCAGCGGAAAAACGTTCACAATATGAGAGGTCAAACAGTCATTTGGTAATCTTTAAAACTATTTAATGAACAAATATTTCGTACAATTGTGCAAAATGAAAGGGCAAATTCCAGAAATTGTGGCGAAGCAGGAAGGTAACTTAAGCTTGCAAAGTTTTATTGATTTTAACCTAATGTTGCAAAATATTTAAACATATTAAGCTCAAGTATGGTTCAACAAATAGGTGAATACGACGACTACTTATTAGTGTTTAAAATCATTAGCCTATCATCAGGATCAAGTTCACATCACTTTCTATTGAATACATAAACCACGCGGACAATTAATTTTGATAGCTTTTAGGCTAAAAAAATTATTTTTGAAGTGTTTTTTTTTTATAACAAAGGACGATTCATAAAGGATTTTACAACGTTGAAAGCGTGTGATTAACGATAAGTAAATGCCTTAAACGTTAACGTGGTATGGGCGGGAAGTAGATATTTTGAGGCGGAGCTAACGTTTTACCATTGCTTCCGGCAGACCAATGAGACATTCCGATCGTTCGAGACGAAGACGTTAGGCGGGGCCCTGGAAATGATCGATATCGACCCACGGGAATCGATATTTTCTACGAAAGCGCGCGTGTGGATTAATACAGATTTAGTAGATTTATTTATTAATTGTATTAGCAATAAAACAGAAGGGAGTCGATAAAAGGTAAAGGAAGCCTCGAAGGTGTCGACAGATAAAAAAAATTTTTGGGAACCCTTGAGGTAGGCGGAACGAATCTCCCGAGGCGTTGCCGTCTCTAATACATGAATCGGGGAGCTATTTCCTCATTGGTCACAGTGCTTTCCGGATTTCCTGTTCTGTTCCCACTCTTCCTGATCAATCGATTAAGTTAGAAACTAAATTTCCCTTTTAATCTATAATTATCGAATTAAAAGTGCATTCCAAAAGTTTCTAAATTTCTTCTGGTGATATTTTCTTTAGTTAAAATGGCATTTTATTTATCGTGAATATTTGAGAGAGACGATTGAACTCGACACTAAAAACAGTGAAAGAAATAATAAATTCGAGTGTTAATATACATTTTAAAGTAGCGCCGGGTATAACCGAGTTTTTAATATAGTTTTAAATGGTTTAAATCGAAGGTTGGGCTCGTCCGTCCATCACTCGAGATCGACAGAGAAATGCCATTTTAAGGGAAGGTCGCTCGTCTCCCCCTTAAATCGCCGCTTCTCCTGAAGTTGCTTTGTTTTTCCTCCTCCTCTCCTTTATTGCAAATAACACGATACCAGCGCTTTCTGTATATAAAATCCAACTTTATTTTCCTTCCAGAAAACCCTCTTAGATGCAACTGCGGGCTTTGGTGGACAGCAACCCACTACTTAAACAATTCGCAGAGTCTGCTGTGGAAGAAGCAACTTAGACACGTCAAATGCAGTTTCTCCGACTCGGTCGCAGGAGGAGACACTCAGAGAGTGATGAAGCTAGCCTCGGATGAAGTGGGATGCGGAAACGACACCGCGAAATATTTGGAGCCGCCGGATTTCGCGGAAGCTGAAACGATCCAGAGAGATCAAAATCGTGAGAGATTCACCAATAGAGAAGTTCGAGGACCAAATAGGATAGAGACGAACGACGAGCAGGACACTCATTCGCGCGCTTCTTCCTCTACCCGCAACGAACAGTTGTTGGCAGCTTCCGCTTCCGTTTTAGTCCTCCTCATTAGGAACCTTTCCTAGTGTTCTATCGATGACGATTTAGTTGTATATTTTGTAATCGAGTTGGTTGAAAACTCGAATTTTTATGTAAATTATTATTCTTCAGTTTAATAAATCTCGTTTTTTTGTTCTTTGTCTTCTCGAGTTTCAACGCTTCACACTAGATTATTGTTGCGTGCCTGCCATTGTTACGCCGCTCGATAATGTCTAAAGATCGCGCTTCTGCTAATGAACGCGGATCTCGCCGAAGAGCCTATTTGGAACAGGATCACGAGCGGGTGATGCCTTCATCAAGATGGAGGCACGACTTAGAGCAGAGGAGTTCCGATCGACACGACAGCAGTCTTAAATTCGACGGTTACAGATCACTCGAATCCGCTGGCTTTGACTTCTTCCGAAGTTCTCGATTGAAACGGGGTAGGAGGGATCGAACCCGTCAAGATTGGTGGAAGAGGAGTTTACCAACTTTCTCCTTTGCTCTACCTCCCGAGACCGATTCGCGGTTTCTCGAAGCCCACAATTATTCGTACTTCAGGCAATTTCCCGACGCACCACCCAGTCAGGAGATGGATTATAATTTCAGCACCAAAAACCTGGTATCCACGTGGAGAGAACTATGGATCCACCTGGCTTCGGCTGAGAAAAAGGCGGGCCTGAAGATCAATCAGTGGCAGATTGAGGAGATGCGAGAGAAAATCGAAGATGTAGATTTCGAGGCAACCGAAAAAATGGATTGCGATCGTTTAGAGGCACATCTGACCCTCTACCGTCGCAAGTGTCCGTCTGCAGAACCCATTATTAATTTGGGAGCGTCTGTCGAAGACATTCGAGCCATCGCCGATTGTATCCTGAACAAAGAAGCCTTGGATCTGATTCTAGTGAAACTGGCCGCGTGCATTGAGAATCTGTCGGCTTTCGCACTGGAGTACAAAAGCCTTCCCACTGTAGGCTACGTACACTTACAACCTTCTTGTTTTGTCACCGTGGGTAAGAGAGCCTGCCTATGGATACAGGATCTTCTCTTAGATCTTCGAGCCCTCGGCAGGTGTAGGAACGATCTCAAATGTTCGGGCATCAAAGGCTTCGACGGCAACCAACGAGAACTGCTCTCTCTTTGCGAAAGAAACCATCCCAAAATCTCTTTCATCGAGAAGGAATTCTGTCGATTGTCCGGATTCGATGGGATTTATCACCTCTCTCGCCAATCAGAAAGCGGGAAACAAGAGGAGCGCATTGTATCGCACCTATCATCATTGGGAGCCAGCATTCACAAGATGGCCACCGATGTAGACATACTTCGCTCCTTAGGAGAAGTGAGAAAAACCATCGTTACGGGGGAAGAGTACCAAAATAAGGTTGAGTCGTGCCTTTCGACCAAAAGTGGAGCGTGCCGCGACACGTCTCAGCACCTGATGAGCCTATTTCTGCACGTTCTATCGCAATCGTCCACGCGCTGGATGGAGCAATCGCGGCACCATCTGGGGGGAATCAGTACCTACACAACAGAAGCTTTGGTCACGTGCGATGTGTTGCTGGACAACCTGTTGTCTCTGATCAGCGAATTGAAGGTGGAGAGCAGAACGATAGAATTTCGAAATCGAGAGGAGCTGCCCCTTTTGGAGACGGAACTGATTCTGGTAGAGCTGATGAAGAGAGGCGAAAACAGGGTGCGGTGTCAAAAACACCTGCAAAACTTAGAAACTACAATAGCCACAGAGTTTAGAAACGAGAAGAAGAGTCCGAACGCTGTCGAAATGATAAAGAACGATCCATTATTCTCCGATCTGACCGAATACTTGGAGTCTTACTTGGATCCAGATACTCGCACGGGTAGAGCTCAGAGTCAAGTAGAAGAATTTGTGAAAGAGGAGGTTCGTCCGGCTCTCGAACCCTTTGTCCATTCCGCCATTTTCCGCCAATATGGAAATATTTGATTAATAATTCCTCAAGTTTTAAAAATGTCTTTATCGTTCCCGAATCCAAATTAAATTCTGCTAATAAATGATTCAACTTCAAGCCTTACTCTTCGTGGTCTGACACACATACTAGGAGCCTTTTTTTACTACAATACCGAATTTTTTATATCCAACAGCAACGGGAGGTTTACTTTGGGCATTCGAACGTCATAACATCCAACATAACATTTATGCATAGTGAGGTGTCAGGTAAGCCTTTGTTACCATTACGTACCGAAACGGCGTAATGGAAAATAGTGAAGACCACATCCCCGGTTCGATTCTAATTGTCAACGCGACTAATTTCATGCAATGTTGACGTCACGCGAAATGGAATCCGTTGTTTACATGACCCATTACAGGAATTCCTAATCCTTAGCGAAATTAGTTATTTAACAATGCCGAGGGATAGGATCCATCGTAGTGGTCCGTTTAAATTTAGGATCCTTATTCTACTCGAAAAATAAATTATTATAAGAATCGTTTCGGATGAAAGGAATTAATAGAAACCACTACTTTTGAAACACTGTAAATACACAAGGGATCCTCCCATATAGGATAGTTTCTTGTAATACCAAAATATTTTGACATTACTCATTTCTTCAGCATAATATACCCTGTATATTAGTAAGCAGGATATTACTGTAGTATACCTAATAGCATACTAGTACAAGAACTGGATACAAAGAAACCTTCAGTGTTTTACGGTTCCTTTAAAAATGCGACACAGAAAAATTACGAATCCCATAAACTAATTTATGGGTGAGGACTTTAAGAAACAATTTTAAATTTAACGGCCTTTACGTTCTACTTAATCGAATTGTGTTTAATAATAGAAACAAAGATTAAACATAAAATAATTGACATTTAGTTTATACCTATTTATTTTATTAATATTTTCTTTCACAATTTAAAATCATTTATTAAAGAAACAATACATGAAAGCAATGAAGTTCGAAATGTTTTCATCTCGTCTATATTTAAATCTGACGAAGGACTTTGGAAATGTTACGAAGTTAATCGGAAACTTGTACAATTATTGTATATTTTAGTAATTCGGTTACTCGCGGCGTAACGTCGCGCCCCACCGGTCGGAGCTAACGATCGCCTACGCGTGGAAATAAGCAATACCCGCTTCGCTAACACAGAAATGTACGCAGGAGTGCCAAAAATATATATTCGCCCGCGCGAACAAATGCAAGGACCGAACCGGGAATGCATATTTTGCATTCGACCGTATGTTGCACCCACCACACAGCACGACTTTGGCATGTTTGGTTAACTAAGAACTAACATACTAACGCCCACTTCGGGAGAACGTTGTTACGAATGTGATAAAACGGCACTATTAAATTGCAAGCGTTGCATTCGATGTTTTACGCACGCACTACGATACTTCTCTTAACGCAAAACAACCCTAGCACATTTCACACCGAGCCATTTAAGCACACGATGCCATTCTCTGCAATTAATCCCCTCAACAATGGAAAAAACACTACCGACTTAAAAGAAATCGAAAAGAAATGCGGCTTTTCGCGAGAAAAATCGAACTGTGTGCAGTGTTTTTTTTTTTGGTCTACAATTTACGCACTAAATTTTTAGCGCGATGACGTCAACAGACTTCCTCCCTAGAGTAGAAATGAGTTTCGAGCACCTTTGACAGCCAACCTCCACCTCAGTGTACGTAATTTGTTACAACAAAGAGAACAACCGTTTAATAACGTTTCCTGGAGGAGTGAAAATTCTGCAAGGAGAATTAAGTTATCAAATTACAATCGCCATTTTCTAAGACACTGCTCAAAAAAACGAGACGAGTGTCAAGATTACAACTCGAAATAATGTCATTGCAAGCACGAAAATACAGAGCTGCCAGGAGTGACGCCAGAGGTAAACCAAAATAGAAAAATCACTGGAAATTCGACACTTCAGAAGTGATCTTTGACAGAGCCGGGAACAGTTTAATCCAAGACCACCCCCTCCTTCTATATGCAAACACTTAAAACTTCTGACGTTAACGAATCTCTCGCTTGCGACGAGAACAAATCTACACACAGTCTACCTTGGTTTCTTTTCTTATACATTTATTTCAATTTGGTCCACTAGGATAACAGAACCCCGTTTACGAAATTTCCTCCTCCACGTCGTCGCGAATCAGCGATAAAACACTAGTAACAGTTCCACCACTCGGAGAGGGTCAATAACACAATTTACACAGCTTCGAGTGAGAAAAAAATCTCTACCGATTTGTGATGACAAAGGTCTAATCTATAGAAATCGGTCTACAATTTCGTGGACGTTGCCGCATATTAATTAACTCGTATAATGCCCGACACCCAAATGCAAAAAATCTATCCCGAACGGTCTCTATAATAATAGCAATTTTATAAAGTCTGGTCGTCCCAATTTTCACTTCCAAACACGAACAGGATCCAGAATTCCCGCTAAATCGGAGGTTACACTTTTCCTGGTGTCTCGACGTCACGGCGCCATTTCCTTTACACAATTTAAAAATTAAAATTTAACAACGTCAACAAAAATATCTGAGTGAAACAATTTTCTTTTTATTACTCTCGCACTCAAGGCAGCCATATGTTACATGTGTACAAACTGTTGATATAATTTTTTTTTTTTATTATTTTTTTTTTTTATCAGAGTGAGCTTCCAACTATCAGGTTTATGCTAATGGATAACTCACTACTTGTGTCGTACTTCCGCCCTTCCGTTCGGAGGCACAAGTAGGAAACAATATAGTTTTGTGGGACACTAGAACGAACCACGGCAGGCCGGTCGGGGGCCTAGGAAACGGGGGGAACGGCAGCTACGACTTCCCACCTCGGCACGTGCGTTCCGCATAGAACGGTCAGATCTAGAACACAAAATGTACTGTACTGTACCTTTTTTTTTTCCTTAAAATACGGCCCCTCTTCCTTGCCAGGGAGACGGACCCACACACACTTTCGTCCATACTAAAAATTTCCTTTTACGTGTAGAATTGTTTATTTTACGAATCGAAACGATAATAATAATAATAATAATTAAAAAAATCCCCCAACTTTAATTAATTTAATTCATAAACGACGAACTACATCGATCGCTTCGGGCAAAATCGAAATCGGAGGTGGTCCTCTCGCGTTATTTTTTTTTCTTTATTTTACTTTATTTATTTATTTATTTTTTCGTTCCGTTCCCGACGGCGGCTCCCTGGAAAGGATGCTCCAAGGCAAATTTATATTAAGTGATATGATATATTTTTAAGACTGAGCAGACGTGGTGCTGGGTAGAGATGCGATGCTGGGAGAAGCGACGGGAGAGGTAGGCATTCCCGCAATAGTGTTGGAATTCAATACTGTGGTTGCTGCAATTAAAAATAATAATAATAATAGATTAATATTTTAATTATTATCATCATTTTCTTGCTTAAATTATTTTATAAATTTAATCTTAACACCGCTGCTGTTATAACTAACAATTTTACTTAACGACGATGACGGTGAAAGTTAAAAAAAAACTTGATGTATTTAATGTAATTTGACAATACAGTCGACCCCCTATAACACTGTTGATTTTTCCTTTTTATATGAATTCCATGTTGTACGAGTCACTTAGATTTTAGAAATACGTGTGCTGGACTGTGAAGGCTCATGTATTTGTAAAATCTAAGTTATTCGTACAACATGGAATTCATATAAAATGGAAAAATCAACAGTGTTATAGGGGGGTCGACTACATATCTATCTGTGATGTAAAAAATGTACTACCGAATGTTCTGGTATGCTTCTTTCTTTGATAAGATTATAATTTGTACAAGCATACAAATGGAATGTATAATGTCATAATTTATTATACAGAGTGTCTAGACTTTTCGGACTATCTCCGTCGTTTTACTTCTTTTCTATGTCGAAAATTTAGATAATTCACGCACAAACGTGACACCGAAGAATTATTTTATTTCCTATTTGCTTTTGAGCTAAGAATCATCCAGCATCGTCACTGAAGATGATAACCCAATTTAAATCTACAGAGCTGTAAGGAAAGCGGTTACCACACGGCTATTTCAAATCTCGTAATAGAAAATAAATAATGAAAACGTTAAATTTAAGTATATTTTATATCGAGAAAAATATCAAAAATGAATGTTGCTGCCATTAGTAAAACATTGTTACAGTCTTCTACTCAAAAAAAAAAAAAAAAAAANTTTTCAAATTGTTTTGTTTATATTTATACTTAATGTAACTTCTGAAACCAATGTAAAACTGTAAAATTATGTAAATATGTAAACTACCTCAGTGGTGCCTAGCGGAACTGAGGGTTGTAAAAATAAAGATACTTAGTAAATGAAAAAAAAAAAAAAAAAAAAAATGCAACACTGCACTTGATCGAGTGCCAATAAAATCTCAAGTGTCCTTTCATTTTGGTGCACACGTGGTGCACGAAATTAAATTTAAAATATTTCACTTACACAAATAAGAATGTTCCATAGCTTCTTGTGCCGTAAGCCTTTCTTGATGATCGTATCTCAATAACTTGTCCAAAAAATCGAGCGCTTCCGGACTAACCAAGTGTTGATTCTCACTATGTACAAATCTCTCCCACCTCTTCCGCGAATGCCTGGATGGTAACAGGTCAGATTTGTCATTCTTTCTAGAGAGAAAATGTTTTAGATTTCTGTTGTGACCTTACTCTCCCCGGAGGTTAGTTCTTTGCAAATTTGTATATATCTTTATTTTATATTTTTGGGGCGCGAAAAAAATCACAATCATAAATGGGGTCGTAAATAAAAAAAGTTTAAGAAGCCCTGGTATAAAATATAGTAGACCTCTGCTTTTATGACCTAATTGGGTTCCACAAAACACCATTTGTAAGTCAAACTTGTAATTTCTTCAAATGCTCCACATCGTATACGAGCTCTGCTCTCGGAAATAAACCCTGAACTACATAAAAAACTGCTTGAAAATTTACAAAAAACAAAATACTATATATAACTTTTTCTACTATAATAGAAAATTTATATCAGTCATAAAGCAGGTGGCCTACTATACAGTTCGTTAATTTGCATACGTATTTATAAAGTAAAATAAACGAATAGAAAATAATTACAAGTTGTAACAGGCGGTGGTGAGCTGCTATGTCCAGACATTCTTTGGGTTTCAACAAATCTTGCTTGTTGTTCTTTGGCAATGGGATCTATAAAAATAATAAATTGCATCAATAAAAATTTTTTTGTAATTTCTTTCTTTCCAAGGACATTATATCTAACGAAGTAACAATGTTAAACAGTAATGCAAATTCACTATACAGTAGAGAGGAAGAGCTCGTACTAGTATCTGTTTCTTGCCGTTTTATAAGTGCCAAAATTGTTGGCATACAACACTTGTCTGCCTCCCATCTGGATAGACCACCCCCTCCTTCTATATGCAAACACTTAAAACTTCTGACGTTAACGAATCTATCGCTTGCGACGAGAACAAATCTACACACAGTCTACCTTGGTTTCTTTTCTTATACATTTATTTCAATTTGGTCCACTAGGATAACAGAACCCCGTTTANAACACTTGTCTGCCTCCCATCTGGATAACGTGCCCAATACCTTGTTCCTATAGTTGTAAAATTTTTGCACATCCACAAGGTTTACAAATATCATATAAACAATATATTATTTATTGTTATGAAGCAGAGATACACACTTTTAGACTTGGATATTGCTTTCTTAACACAGATTAGATTTTGCAAATGATGTTCCAGTAGCACCAGTTGTTGATAATAGATCCGTATATACATATAATCATTTATGAAAATGAAAAATTGTTTCATAAAGAATCAATTTCTCCATTCACCGGATGTCAAAAAATGTATCAAATATCTTTTATCCATTGAGCATTTCCTTTCAAAACTATGCATGAAGTCTTCTGTGAATTTCTACCTCTTTCACACTTTGACTAGAATGATTCAGATAAAGTGGCTTTTTATTGTCACACAAAGTAGCAGAAATTTTCATTCTGTCAGTCTCTGACTTACATTCAATTAAAGAACCCGGAAACAATTTCACAACAGAAGAATCATTGGTTTAGCACTGCCCCCGCATCCTTGCTGCAAATTAGCAAGGTCGTACGTTCATTGCCATCTATGTACTAGTTCTGGCACCAAAATGCAGCAACGTCAATTCTGCCGTTTCATATCTTTTACATGTAAACATTTCGTAAATTATTCATTGTATTATACACTTACTTACAAAAACAAAGTTGATGATAAAGTTTATGTATCACTAGGCATGTACTGTACTGTATGTATATATATATAAATAATTCAATTTCTGAAATTATTAATTATTAAATATTACAGAAGATTGATTACAATAGTGATTTTCTTTAAGGTTTCTGGTACATTATAGACTTTATCATCAATGTGAACTTTGTACTTGACACAGATAATCTTGTTATAAATCAGATACACAATTTTAGTAAGAAACTATTTCAAACAATCCATATTTTACTTTTTGATTTCATCTTCTTTTAAATTCAAAATCTTAGCAGCATTGCTCTTGCACGTCTGATATTTGCATGGATTAATTCATTGAAAGATCATAATATACCAAACATAATGAGTATATTTTTAAATTCCTCTACATTGCTGGACTTTCAGAATAGGAAAAAAAAATATTTCGTTTCCTTTCTTTCCTGCTAGAAAGTAATTTTTAACTCTTCCTTGTCCTACAGATACTAAGAAAGCCTGTTTTTTGATTATCTCAGAGTCAGCAAAACCCACAACGAGGGCGACAAAGGACCGGCCGAATGCATTCAAATGAAACCACCTGCAAAAATTTCAGGGATTTGAGCCGGACTCAAACCCGGAGCAAAAAAGCATCAGCTTTTTGCTGTCTTTTGCATCTAGTTATCAAGGGGGAAAAACTTTATAAAAAATTTTGGAAATATTACAAATTAAATAAAATGTAATCATAAAACATCAGATTACTTTCAGGCTATATTATGACTAATTATTAACTGATTAATATCAAAATTTGCCTTAAAAATACGCATTAATAATTAGAAAGTAATTTTAAATGAAATCAAATTAATTTTGAAATTCCAGTAGAAAAAATTTAATCTGGAATAGAATTTGGGAGCACAACTTCTGTGTGATGGATAAGTATGATATAGCCCAAAAAAATCTCATGATTTAGATTCATGTCCAGAAATTTGTCGGCATTATGTAAATAAATTAAATAATGTATAAAAAGTGTCAAATCCATAAAAAAAAAACTTTGACTTACCTAAGATATTTCATTCACGTTACTACAGTTCAGCATTATTTCATAAAGAATAAAAAAAAAAAAAAAAAAAATGCAACACTGCACTTGATCGAGTGCCAATAAAATCTCAAGTGTCCTTTCATTTTGGTGCACACGTGGTGCACGAAATTAAATTTAAAATATTTCACTTACACAAATAAGAATGTTCCATAGCTTCTTGTGCCGTAAGCCTTTCTTGATGATCGTATCTCAATAACTTGTCCAAAAAATCGAGCGCTTCCGGACTAACCAAGTGTTGATTCTCACTATGTACAAATCTCTCCCACCTCTTCCGCGAATGCCTGGATGGTAACAGGTCAGATTTGTCATTCTTTCTAGAGAGAAAATGTTTTAGATTTCTGTTGTGACCTTACTCTCCCCGGAGGTTAGTTCAGGTCCATAGTAAATATTTTAATAAAAAAAAAAATATATTACACTAAATTAACTTTTATCATAATTACTAATTATGTAGCTATGAAATGTCACAAAATGTAAATAATATTCTTTAATGTCTAACATGGAGTTATCGACAGCCATTAAATAGTTCTTAAATTTGTACTATTGATAAATTAATTCGACACTGCAGTGAAAGCTAATTAATAAGTTTGCGGCAAATGCTATAAATTGCTTCCGATAACTTTAAAATACAACTTACTTTCTTAAAAATTGCATTCAGCACGGGAATATTTTTGCTACATTATTATGTTAACTTAAGCAGTTCATTTTTTTTCTTGTGACTTTGATTAATTATTTCACAAAAATATATACTTTCAAGTCAAAAATGCATGTTAGCAAAGCGTGTCACATAATATTTTCTGACATGTTTAGATATTTTAACCAAATCCAAATTTTGTAGAAATACTGAGATATTTATAAGCCAGCAACTAACTGTATTTTATTTTAATTTGAAAGATTGGATTAATTTTAAGCAGTAATCATCTTAATGTTCCTAGTTGATGAGTTAGTTTTGAAACATGCAATTTCTTTTCACTGTGCGTCCTTATAAAATAACAATAATGCTTTAATAATTTCTCTATTTTTATTTTAATTCTATTTTTAAAATCCTTAGAAAAACCTTGGCAATAAACTGAATGTATGTTGTTTTTAATATTGATCCTATCGCATAAAAGTGATCGGCGTTAATATTAGCATTACAATAAAAATGTTTTCAATTAATTATTATAATAGTATCGAAAAGCCATTTCTATACAACATTTGTAAAAATAAAGTCTATTATTTTTTTATTTGGTTAATGCAAAAATAGCAATTTTGGTACTAGTTACAGCTTGAATTACAATTAGTAGTATCAAAATGTCTTTTTTCAAATTAGCCAAGAAAAAGTAATGACCTTTCAGGACGTTTTTTGTGAGCATTTCAGATCTATTTACTCTACAAACTGGCATTAATCATAACTCCTTAGCAATGAGTGCAATTTACGTGAAACTGTGGCATGACTCATTTGCAAGCTAAACGTATTAATTCATCATAAATATTTTTTCTTCTTTAGCATATCTTACTAACAATGCTAATGTATTTTTAAAAATTCATCTTGAATTTTTTTCTGTTTCTAATTGATAAATTAAGTTTTTAACCCACACTTCTCTTATAATTTAATACCAAGAAATGGCAAAAGTGTATTTACTTATGTGGCTTTAACCTAAATTGGAAGTTATGAATATCTTATAAATTATAAGGACTAAGTTTTATATTCATTTCTAGTAAATAATAAAACTATAAATGTAATTATTACCACTTCAATAGTATCACTTTTCTATGAACTAAATTGTTATAAAAATAATAATAATTAAATGGAAATACTCAAAAAAAAAATTTTTTTTTGCTTACAAGAAGTAATTCTAAAAATAATAATTTATTTATTATAAATTTATATGGAAATAAAATTAGAAACAATAAGAATAAACAAACAACACGTAACAGAAATTAATACAATCTTTGCTTTATTTTAGATAAAAATTAAAACCAATGCATTTAAATGCAAATAAAATTTTAAGTAATAATGAGAAGCATATACAACATACTTAGATCTAAATGTATATAAATACAAAAATTAATGAAACTAAATGCAATTTATAATACAATAATATTACTGCTAGAATGCACTTGTTATTTAGATACTGTGAAATGTAATATTAAAAAATTTGTGTTAACTACTGTCATGTATATTTAAACTACAATACTATTCCTTATATATAAAAATTCTGGAAGATTTCTTAAATTTTTAATATTACAATTTGTTATTGATCTGAATAATTGCTATTAATTTAAATATTTTAAAGCTTAAAATTTGATTTTTACATTCACGTAACTACTACAATTTGTTTTAGTATAACGCACAAGCTGCTTTTATGGTGAACTCTCATGTTACAATATTACCATATATGACAGCATATAAGTTTTTTTAAATCATAAAAATATCTCTCTCCAAAACTAAAGATTAATTTATATGACAGGTGTAAAATGTGAAACTTTACCATGGATCAGTAAACAAGAGAAAGATCATTCCTAACGATCACTGCACACCGTTTATTGCATCATCAGCAAGTCACTACAAATATATCCACTAAAACTCATATTTGTGAAATTATGTAAAAAGGAATAATTCAATAATAAAAATTCATTAAAAACATACACTAAACCACAGTTTCCATCATCTAACATGCCTATCAACTGTATACATCAATATAAATGAAGCATAAACAAAGACATATTACAGTGTTCTGCTATCATATACCATGTGTAACGGTACTACGCTATGTGAACTATTAATATTTTAGTGTGTACTGTACATGTTGCTTTTGCCTCAGATACTTACCAGTACACACCTAACATATAATAAAGTTCTAAATAATATAACGACTGGTAATTTTTAGCATTCGCCTGGTATCCTACACATAACATGTCAAAATTATTGACTCATATCAAAAGAATCATTATGTTATTTAGTTTTTGCACAGCAGGATATTACAATTCTAGGAATAGTTGTTTACAAGAAATCACAAAGGAAAGAAGACTGTTTAGTTTGTCTCTGTTTCGACATGGCAAAGGCTGGGAGAAATAGCACTCCGAATAAGTCAGAATTAATCAAATATTTATTTAATTTAGGTTCCGACGAGCCCAAATTTTCAGACAGCAATGATGAGTATATACAAAATGAAAATGTAAGTGATGATAGTGGTGATATCGATCACGAAATACCAACTAATAGTGGATATAGAGACTGATCATGCAGCCGTACTCGAGGAAATAATACTGAAAAACATCTGCAATTTAGTAGTGACAATGGTTGGATCTGTATGAACTTCAGAAGCTCTCAAGTAAACAGTTTCACAGGACCAGCAGGAATTCAACATAATTTATGGAGTTATGTCCTACACCATTCGACTGTTTTAGTGTATTTTTGATGATGAACTTGTGGACAAGATTGTTGAAGAAACGAACAGGTATGGTGATAATTTGATGAATTGTGATGATTTATGGGAAAATAGTCATATAAAAAACTGGAAACTGACAACAAATCCAGAAATTAAAGAATTTATAGAACTTATTATGGTCACAAGTATCATTAGAAAACAGCGCCTAAGTATGTACTTTACAATTGAAGATGTTTTTTCTACACCATTTTTTTTGAGTGTGATGTTGAGCAATCGCTTTCTGCTTTTATTGTCATATTTGCATTTTACAGACAATAATCAAGTCTCAGGTGGTGATGATAAACTGCATAAATTACACAGTGTTAGCGATCATTTATGCCACAGGTTCAAATATGCTTACATCCCGGATGAAAACGTCTGTGTAGACGAAAGTCTTATGTTATGGAAAGGCAGACTGAGATTTAGACAGTATATACTGAGCAAGCGTGCTCCTTTTGGTGTAAGAAGCTTTGAAATTTGCACATGATGAACAGGATATGTTTGGGACTTTATAGTTTACACGAGAGCTATGGCGGAATATGAAAATTTTGAAGGTGGGCAAGGTACGAAAGTTGTGCTTACTTTATTAGAATCATTGCTTGGTAAGAATCATAAGGGTTTTTAGACAGCTTTTTCACCTCACTGTCATTAGCAAAAACGCTTCTGTATAAACAAACATATGTATGTGGAACCATAAACAAAAATCAGGTTGAAATGCCACACAATTTTCTTGACCGTGAATTGAAGGAAGGGAAATTTATAACCTGTCAGAAAGATGAATTGTCTGTGTTTTGTTGGAAAGATGAAAGGAATGTGACAATTCTAATTACGACGAGGAACAATGAATTCTCTGATTCCGGTCAGGAGATGTAATAACAAAGCTGAATTATATTTTAGATTATAATCGTAATATGGGTGGAATTGATTGTGTGATGGAGTGATACACAATTATCCGTGCATGAGAAAAACGGTGAAATGGTATAAAAAAGTGTTTTATCATATGTTGGATATTGCACTATATAATGCTTGTGTTTTGTATCACCAACATACAAAAAGAAACTCATACCATTTCTTGATTTTCATATGTCTGTTATTAGAAAAGTGATGGAAAAGTTTCATACAAGCAGACATGTAGCCGTCATGGTTGACTGTCACATGAAAATCCGTTACGTTTATCTGAATGGCATTTTACTAGTTTTATACCAGCAACAGAAAAAGAAAAAAAAAATCCAACCAGAATCTGCAAAGTCTGTTCGGCAAACAAAAAACAATTAGAATCATGTTATCAGTGTACAATGTTCTGTTCCATTATGCATTGTTCCTTGCTTTGAGATTTATCACACTAAAACTAACTTCTGAAATAAAATTTTTTGTTTTTACATTTCCTAATATGTCCATTTTGTGTGTGTAAAATATAAAGTAATTTGGAATGATACAATAGACATAATTATTATTTTTCTGAAACATGTGATCGCATTAAGCTTAACATCGAAAAAATTCAACATGGAACAATATGTGACAGAGAAAATATTCATTGGATAGGTTAATCATGCAAATCTGTAAATGCACTGCAAGAATAACAATTTATGTGGTGAGTGGACCGACCCAATCTTGAAAAACACGACCAATAGAAAAAGCATATTTTTAAAAATAAATCAAAATTACTTTATGAGCTACATATGTATTAACCAAAACTGCCTTTTGCTCTAGAGCACTAGATTACCAATATTCAGGAGTCGATTTATATGTTAGGTATAGATCTAAACTTAAATTTTAAACTGAAAAACTTGAGATCAACTTATATGCTAGCAAATAGAAGTATCAATTCTCAAACATCTTTGGTTTGTGGCATGCTGTAAAACATGCAAGATTTTTTCTGGCTCATATCATGCACAAAATTAAAATCGTCAATAGATTTTAAATAATGAATAGCTGAACCTAAGGGCCTAGCCTAGCTATTCGTTGGTCATCGAGGTAGTAAATTTTTACGTAGACAAAGTTCTCGCTTTTAAAATATACTTTTATAATAGTTTCAGCACTTGACTGTCTCTTGTGCCACAGCACACCATTTGAAAAATCACTGATATACAGAAATCTATTGCAGAGAAATTATGTATCATAAAAATAATGTAATGCATTTTGGCCATTTTTCTGAGATCTTGAATGTCAAAACTTCACTAAGGAACTAAGCACTTTCCCTCTCTAACAATTTTTTTTTTTCGTAAAATGGAAATATTAATTGCTTATAGAATAATCAATAAACCATGATTATAAAGCAAAAAATGTTAAGAGCTATTTTTTACTTGTGAATATTTATTGTACAGTGAACCTTAATGCAAATAATCCACTGTGAGTCAATATGATCAAGTACTGTACTGTACATGTAAATCAATCATGATAAAAGAGTCAACTGTGTTCACAACCCTCTTCCAATAACTGTGTAGCTCATTTATAATTTAATGTTTTATTCTGAAATAACTTACCTTCCTAAAATGTCATTAAATCTTGGATCTAATTCTACTTGGTATTTATCTAGATATTCATATAATTCTTCTGTTCCCAATACTTTAGCAATTCGAACCAGCTGAAATAATAAATTTTAGTCATTTATATACTAAAAAAATACAGATTATAAATGATAAATAAGGATTTTAATTTACAAAACTGCCACTTACTTGATCATAATTATCATGACCATGGAAAAAAGGTTCTTTGCGAAAAATCATACTAGCTAACATACAACCCAAGCTCCACATATCTAATGAATAATCGTACATCTGCAATAAAATAATGGAGTAATCAATTATAAAATTACAAGTTTAGAAAACTAATAAAAATAGTAATGTATGATAAATTCTGGATAATACCAGTTTAATATTTAAAATTCTGTAGTAGTAGCATTATTATAGGCCAACATAATCCGGCAATTGTTTGGCACTGAACCAGAATTCTTTAAATAATCCTTTTTACAAGTTAACACATTTACAAACATCACACATGAGCTGTATTGTTGCAGCAACATCATAAAATGTTCACCAACATGCTGTTGGTGAACATTTTAAATGGTACCACCTGCTGCAATAGTTGCAACCAACATTTTTTAGTTCATCAATTTCTGTGTCATAATCTAAACTCTCAGCACAACTTGCACACTTTTGCTTCTCAGGGATCACAACTACATTTGTATTTAGTGATGCAAAAACTTTTCTACATTTATCCCCTCTGTCACTATATTTTCTGGAAGATCATTCAGCTTTTTTCTTTTTTTAATCGTCTTTCCATTTTCCTATTCTTCTGTTTTGCTTGCTTTTGCTCTTTTTGTTCACGTTTCTTTTTTGTAGTAGTTGGTCATGGCCAATACAAATGAAGAAGAAATCCAGGAGACACGTTTCCATGTGATGATATATATGGAACTGCTGGAAAGAGAGTTTAATTGGAATGATTTGTTTCTGAATTTTCAGAACTTGATGTGGCTTTGATAAACATTTTTTAGCCTCTAATAGTAGAAAGAGTACCAGAGAGCACTTTCTCCATATATTGATGTATTTGGCATTTTTGGACAGGTTTTTGCTAGTGGTATTTTTATGCTTTGACACTTATGAATTATACAACTGTTAATTTTGTTATTTTCAGTTTTTATGGATAATTTTGATTGACTTGACATTTACAAATTAAATACTTTGGAATAGCAGGCATCGGAAAGCTGACGCGTATCAGTGATTGATCACTGGTTATTCTGCATAACCAGTGTAGCTGCATGATCATTATGGTGGTCAACAACTGGGTTTTCCTTCATCGAGAGACTCACAAATGTGGCAACTGTAAAAGGGAAACCTGACGTGTGCATTTTCAATCATGGTGTATGCCACAATAAAAAAGTCACAAACTCCAGTAATTGGCCACCTTACTTTTTACATATTAAATCAGAATTGTTGCAAATTATTTGATATGACAGGTGCTTTGATGGTTTACTACCCAGAAAAACAATTAAGCGAATTCAATAATAAGTATTCTGTAAAAAATATGCACCTGAAACACAGAATCTTTGTTATCTTTTAAAGACCTGTTAATACCATACTTGGTTAACTACCAGAAGGGTGTTGAACAATAATTTTTCCCATCATGTAAATGAGGCAACCTGTTTTTCTTACATGTAATTGGTTTGCAATTTGAAAAAATTGTAGACCTATAAATTCCCATTGCCGCCTGTCTCTCCTTAATCTCAAGAACAAAGTTAGATAGGTGAAATCAGAGACCAGATATGGAAACCTTAGGGGCAGGAAGCCCCAATTAACTGTACATGAACTTCTAATGCAAACTGGAAGTCATATTATTCAATTCAAAAATTTTTTCCTGCAAGGAGTTAGATGACAGCACGACTCTATTGCTAACAGGAGCAAGACTATTAATTCAAGGTGGAGAGCATACATTTTAAATTAAATAAATATGATTAAAAATTGCGGCCCAGCATTTTGACAATGTCACAATAAATAATTGCTCATTAAGAATAGGTTTCTCTTATGATGCTTCCCGTGAAGATAGTTTGTCTAAACCTGTTCAGATGGACTAATTATGCACAGATTTCGGCTTACATGGTTGACTACTGGAAGTGGTTGGCAATAAAAGCCCCTACCCTATATCATAATGGAAAATTTACACAGTCATAAAGCAAGGATCTACAGCATAACTCGCTGCAGAATTTCAAAGCATTTAGCTGTTTTTGTCTGAAAACATTTAGTTTTTTTTTTTTTTTTAAATTTCTGTTATGATATAAACTATTTTTAAAATAAATATTTTAAAACAAAATTTGCAAATTTTAATTTCAGTTATGCATTTCTATAATACTCATATCTGAATATCAAATTGTGACATTTGATATTTAAAATTTTTCAATTTTCATAGTTATTCAATATACATAATATAATGTTTGAATCTGTTTGCTATCAAAACTTTTATAATTAAACTTATTACAAGTGGACATTAACTAGTTGTTTACTCTACTCTATTTGTACATTTCAAGAATAATTTCTATTAATTTTTGTCTCAACTCCTTCCCATATAAGAAGCTGTATAATTTTCTTTCACCGTTTCCTTTTTGAATGCTTGTATAATACTTAAGATGACTTCTAAACTTTTCTAAAGTGATTTGTCTAACCGACTTCTACTTATAAACTTATTGCGTAATGTAACAGGGCTCATGTTTGCATAGCTTTGGTTGCAGCCGGATTATAAACTGGCCCTGATACTTTCGGATAAGCTTAATATAGACAAAGAACTGAATATAAAAGATTGTCATGTCGTCTATTTGGAAAGTATCCAGCCATGTAATATGAAAAATACACATATTTACTGAGGATACATGATACAAGGAACATCGGAATCCCCAGAATATCTTATAGTTTCTGCACTGTCAATCAGCCCTCTCTCCTTGGCTGCTAGATTAGGTCAATGTCACAACAAACCATTCTCATATTATTAAGAATGGCTGGAATTTTTCCAGACAGATAGCTTGGTTTGAAAGAAGAATGTCTCTTAATATTTTAAATATAACAACACTCTTACTTCAAATTTTTATGATTAATCAAAATGTTTTCAAGCCATTTTTGCTCATATCACCAGTTTAAATATTTGAATGGAATCAACACAAGATATTTAATGCTTAAGACATTTTGAAGTATAATTCTAAACTGAATTGTTAAATTTTAAATTTGTATGATGATAATACAGCTTATTCATACATTTAGCATGTAATGATAAAATTAGAACCTATACCAAGCATAATTCACTTTCAATATTAAATTTTGTCTAAACACTACTACTACACATACACTGATACATAACTAAAACTTAAACAGTTCCCTAAATGAAGAGTCTTCAAAAGGACACTAAATTTTATCTTCATTGATGCATAATATACTAATACCATGTTCACAATTAACTACATATCATAAAATTGACTGAAAGCATTAAGAAGCTATCTATTATCAAACAAAAGTATCACTCTTAGATACTTTATTATAAGACTTACAAAAATTTTTTTACATAAATTAAAAGAAAGAGAAAATTATTTTGAAGATTTATGAGATGCCACTGAGCCCTTTGGAGAATAACTGCACTGGTGATCAAGATTTGTAGTTGCGTCACTTCACAGAGTACTAAAACCAATCAGAAAAACAAAATTAACCAAGATAATGTAGAAAATATTCAACTTATAGCTTCAAATTTGTTTAACTCTGTAGCTAATGTATATAATATAAATTTATACACACATTCAACTATTCAATTTGTATATTTTTTAAAGACACTTACACTATTTTATTGGTTTATTTTTACCTTCTATTATTTTTTTTGGTTATTTACACATTATGCTAGGAATGCAGCTGTTATGATCCACCATATTTTACCAGAAATTCATTATAGATGTCAATTTAATATTTGTTCTAGATCAATCCACATTTACTGATGGTGAATGACAACACAACTTTCCTTGTCATTTGTCTGACAATGCTAAATTATTCATCACAAATACTCCATTATGTAATTCATATTTTTACAATTAGTTTTCATTTTCTTCTTGTAAGTCATATGAATTAATGCCATATATATACTAATGTATAATTATAAAAACCTAATAGTGTAATGGAAAGTTTTTGGCTAAAAATAATCTATAATAAATTAATCATTTTTAAAATTTAAACTACAGTTATGTATGGTGCAATATATTAGAAATATTAACCATTAATAAATCAATCAAAACAGTCAACTCTGAATAGATTTTTATTAAAATACAAAAACTGGGAAAAAATGTTGGAAATGATCATTGTGACTTATTAGTATCTAATGTACAAAAGAATAGATTGATAGGTTATTTGGTTTATTAACACAATGCAGTAGCATGTTAAGGCTATATGGCTGACCAAAATTTTATCCATTACAAGCAGGTCTGGCCCAGAATGAAATTGCCAACATCAATGAGGATCCACACTTCTACTAGTTTAACATTCCTATAATTCATTCCTCTAAGAGTGGCAAATGATTATTATTAATATGGAAATAATGCAATTTATAGATGATTTAACAAATTAAAGAAATTTAGATTTAATGTAATTTCCTAAATACACACAATCACACACACCTGTTTGTTTGTGCGCATGCACGGAAACACTGAAACTATGCATTTAAAAATTAATCTCTTATAAAGTGACCATGCCAAATAAAGTAATCATTACTGTTTACATTTTTATGTAATTATAACTTCTGTAATGATCTAATATTAGGACAAAAAATAAAAATAATAATAATAATACTTCAGGAAAAGAAATAACTGTATCCTCTCAAATCATCTCAATTACTGTTTCTTTATTAATACAAAACATTAATTGAAATCCAATTACCGATTCTAGAATATTTCAACGTTTACAGAGTTATACCACGGATAAATATATTACGGACAAATCGGAGATCAAAATATTTAAGAATATGAATGACTAAATAATAATTAAAATAAAATTGTAATAATTCTCATTGATCACACTCAAAAATTTATAAGGTTATATTTAAACTTAAAAACTAAATAAACAGAAAAATCAAAACCACTAAAATACAATAATGCTTACTATTTGCAGTGTTTAAAGCCCAAATTAGTGTCCAATCCTTTAGGATCTTTAATACTGATGACACCATTACCAAAATTCTGTTTGTAAATCTGCAAATTGTTAAAGAACCTAAGTCCTGCTGTTCCCAAATTTAAGTATCTACACTTCATTAAAAGAAAAAA